GCAGAAGTGGTTTCTTTTGAATATTTTTTCAAGTCACACTTCCTCAAATAATACGAATTCTCTGCATTAATTCAACTGGGGGAGATCATGTACTATGAATTCAGGTGAAACCCACTATGAGCCTCACGCCCATACACAGTAGGTGATATAATTGAGAGGATTTGGATTCCAAAGATGAGGGAAGGGACCTGTTTTAGAAAAAACTGTGGATCCTGTGTCCACTAAGTGCATCTCTTTCTCTGATATTCCTACTTTCTTGATAGTTATAACCTATTGGTGGACGTGGGTCTATATCCCAACACTCTTGATTAGTGGGATCCTAATTGGCAATGCTCCTTATTTGATTTTCAATGTGATGGCTTATTCAAGAGTTTAATTACATTCTTGGGTTGAAACGTTTTGCAGGGTATGAAGCTCCGAACTTGAGGTATGCCAAGTTTTTTTTTCTTCTCTTTGGTCATCTTTGATTGAGTGAAACTAGTCATGATTTTGCAATTGTTTAAGAATCTTCACTTGTCATGATTTTTCAATTGTTTAAGAAACTAAGAGCATAATCAACAATGACAGAGTCCAGTAAGACCCCTACGAACAAAAAAGAGTCAAGTAACCTATTTGTTTGGTTGTGCTCTGTCCTAGCTTCAGTTCATATACAAATTCAAGTCTATGCTAGTATGTTTTAGTGGTTGGTTTCCAAATCTTTGATCCATTAGCTAATGAAAATGTTATGATGGAGTTTGGTGGTTGTGGTAGTGGTTTCTTGTTTTCGGTTTCTGGATGATATGTTGAAATTGTTGCCCCGACAATATTGCTCCATGAAAGTCATTATTGATGTCCAGCCTTCAATATTGGCGATACTAGGTAGATGCTTATGAGCATGAATAAAACAAGTTTCATTTTTATAATTCCCACCATGTGAATGGAAAAAGCCTGGAGCTTGTCAGCATTTATCAGCGTCATCACAAGTTGGGATTGCCTTGTCCAGTCTAGATGGCCCTTCGTAGTCCATGAATTTAATCAAACCCACATTGTGACTGCCTAACTTTGTTTTTGCATGTAAATATTATTTATTCGTAATTGCCTTTTATTACCATAAAGGAAGCTCGCAGACAAAGTTGCTGCTGCTGGATTCTTGGTGGTTGTCCCTGATTTCTTATATGGTGAACCTTTCAAGCCTCATCTGGATCGAGATTCATGGAAAAAGGCTCATAGCATGGTTAGTTGCCAATTCATTGATTTTGTTAAAACTCTATTGTCCAAATCAAATGGCGACTTTCTATTCATTAAGAACACTGGGAGATTATCCACCATGCCAAAATCAAAAGATTCCGAAAGTGTCAGAATCCATGACATATCATGTGGCATTATTGCATATGAAATGGAAGTTGGTGATGTGAAACAAAGCCATCCCCAGGGTGACTTAATAGGACCAAATTATGATCATTTCAGACCTTTAATGACGTCGTTGTAAATATTTGCAATAGGTAAACACGTATAACTTCTGCGCAAAGAAACACCAAAGTAAATGTATCACATGCTAACATAACAAATTCAGAAAGAAATAAGCCTGCGTTCTTTCTTTCTTTCTTTCTTTTTTCAATTTTTTTGGGGTGGGGGGACTCTTTGGACTTAATATGAATTTCTTCTCCCATTAGGACAAAGGATTTGAAGATGCTAAAACAGTAGTTGCTACTTTGAGAAGCAAAGGAGTGTCTTGTATAGGAGCTGCAGGCTTTTGCTGGGGTGGTAAGACACTTTCTCTACTTTTTTGATTGCTGCAGGAGAAGCTGCATATGTAATTGCATTCTGAGGACCTAATGTGATGGACTTGGCTTCTGAAATTGGGTTTGTTGAATTTGTCTCAGGTGTGGTAGTCACAAAACTAGCACGATCTGATGACATTAAGGCTGCAGTTGTATTGCATCCTGGTCCCCTTACAGTTGAAGATATAAATGGTAATTTCCCCGTAATATAGAAGTTGACTAAAAATTTATCTAGGATTGACAAGAAGTTGTTTCAGATGTCAAGATTCCAACTGCGATATTGGGAGCTGAAAGCGACAGAATTTTCCCACCAGAACAACTAAAGCATTTGGGGGAGATTTTATCTGGAAAAACTGAAGTAAGAAATTCTCGTATCAGCTTTATGTCTGATTAGCTTAAGAGATTTTAACTGTTTCTCGAGCAAAGATTTTTTATTGCAAAAAACACACACCTATTGTTTCATTTCCAAGCCACTTCATGATTTGATAAGCTCTGGCCGGAATATCTGAATCTCTTATGTTGGAACCTAGGCCAAAAGTTGAAATTGAGGTTAAAATGGAGTGTCAAAACATTGTATCAGGCTTGGAAATAGGCAACATCAACTAATAGTCTTCTTGGTTGTGTTCATTTTGTTTTTTGCTTTGCAGGTTGATAGCTTTGTGAAAATATTTCCTGGTGTTGCTCATGGATGGACAATGAGGTACAAAGATGATGATGAATCAGCTGTCAAGAGTGCCGAAGAGGCTCATGGGGACATGTTAAATTGGTTTACCAAGTATGTTAAATGAAATTATTCTACATGAATTCGGGTCTGAAAATGTAAACGTTTTTGAGTTAATAAACCGAATCAAGAGATTGCTAGTATGGGGTTGGATTTAGCATATCATATGTAGTCCGAGATTATAAACTTTATGCACTGGTAATGTAAGCTATTGTATTCAAGTTGATGTAATGTATGCAGAACCAGTTTGATGTTTAATGTTCCAGATGATATGGGAAAGAATCTGTTAATATTAGTCCAAAATCTGTGTATTATCATGGTACTTTTCTCGAGGAAAATAGTTGATCACCATGGATTGGATGACTTGTATTCGGATCCAATCCAGGCTATACTATTGATTCAATCCCGTCACCCCCATTTCATTCAATTTGTGGCTTCTTGAATGGTTGATGAACTAGTGTCAAACAGCCACAATTTTCCCATGTTGGGTGTAAGGGGCAAAAAAAATAAAATAAGATTACCTCCTACAGGAACTGATAAATTGATATTTCTGGTAAAAGCGTGTTTCTGAACTTGGTGTCTCAGTCTTTTTTTTCCTGTAAAACGAATAAACTGCCGAAGATAGAAGTGTTTCGATCAAAGGTACTCCGATGTTTAAATCAGTAATAGAATTTGGTGAATTGTAAGAAGATAAGGAGAGTTTAGCGTACCTTTCACTTTGACTCCTTATGCCTTTTATAGATCCCTGTTTAGTTAGGGTTTCCATGATTTTTGATTCAAGGTGGTACACTTTCCTTCAATTAGGCGACTCTGTTTGGGAAGTTGTTGAGATCTCTTTAGCAATTCCTCCTGCCGAGCCTATAATTATGTCCATTTGTTTAACTAGAATGTCTGAGTTATAAGCATCTCTTTAACTCTTCGTTTATTGTATGAAACAACTCGGTCATGATGAGGACCGATCTCCTCTCTTTATTCTCGAGCTCTTTGAATAGCTCTGCTTCGTTCTGATGATTGAGTCGATTGATGTCTTTGTCACGAGATTAGTCTTATCTCCATCACGTGGTGTCATTTAATGTGATCATACGTGTCATATGGAAAGCATCCCCCTTCATTGGGGATTGAAAATTTGAAATTGTTGCTATTCTTTGGACAATTTAGAATGATTGGGAATAAAGTTGTTTTTGAATAGTTAAAGTTAAACCCCTATCTCTGTTCTTCAATTTGGGGTGGGTTTTGACTCTAACATATTATGAAGGTACTTATCTGACCTTCAACTTCGACTAGAGTCAGAGGGGATTTTGTCCTTCAATTCCAACTCCGAACTACTATAACTCTGACTCCATCTTGTTGGATGCAGAGTAGAGTGGAGTTTGGATTAGGGCCGATATTTGTTGGATTTTTTTTTTTAAAACATTTTTCTAGGATTTGGACCAATTTTTATGTTGGACAATGAGTAATATTTTATAAATTTTCATATAGTAATCAATTATATGACTTATAATTTATATAAAAATATTTATTAATAAAAAAAAAATCAAAAAAAGATTTCAGACTCTGATGGATGGAAGCTTCGTCTTTTAATTCTTTTACAGTATTGTTACAGGGTACAATGAACCTTGCTATTATTATTCTCATAGTGGTTTCCTTCTACATCCTACTCTTACTATCAACAATTTACGAGGAACCAAAGCGGCCTCACTCTTTTACTCAGACAATGGCCTAACATCCCACATACGACTTTAGTGTAGACCCATCGGAATAAAAGAAAATCATTATAATAGAATGACCTAACAAGTTCAAAGTAGCACTAGTATAAGAGCATTAAATCACAATTACATAAGCAACAAGAATTAGTAATAGATTTACATATAAGTAAGCATAATATATTTAAGCTACCATTACTTGGCTCTTATACCAGAAAGGGGGGAGGATTGATCTATGCACAGAATATCAACGAAAGCTTTTATTTAACTCAAACTTATGTACAAAACACATTTATAGTAGTCGTGGTGAATGGATGAATGTTTTTACAAGAGAGACAGGTTCAGAGAGAGTGAAAAAAAGGAGAGAGAGAGGAGAGTAGGTGTCGAGATGTGGTACGTATGAGATATGGTCAAGATGCGGTCAGGGGGCAGTGTTCCATAGGTTGGGCCTGCACCCTTTTATATAGAAGTCGGACTTGAAATCTGGATTTCAAACTAACCTATGCTATTCACACCTTTATACTATTCACAACATTAATAATTTACAGTGACGTTATTGCATACGTCAATGATACTGTACACTTTTTATTGTACAAGTACAATAATTTTATGGTGACGTCATGACATTCGTCACCCCTTCAGAGTCGGCTTTATCCGAAACTTCAGTTTTATATGATCATTTCCTGTAAATCAAATTATACAACATATTATAGCTATTATTATAGAGATTTATCTTCATATCATCATTTAGTAAATCTTTATTAATAGAGATGTCACATTTAATAGGGGTATATACCTGAGAATCCATAAAGTCATCATCAAAGTCAATAGGAGTGGATGATTCCCTATCATCCTCCTCAACTTTATCTTTCTATTTGCCTTTTATGGCAAATGTTGGTAGGGGTGTTCAACCAACAAATAGGGTCGGAAGTGTCAACTTTCGTTAGCCGATCCGTAAGCAGTCAGAAGTGGGAATGATAAATCGAACTGAACCACACAACCAACTGAGCAGACAATCGGCCCTATGTGTCGGTCGATTTTTGGTTCTGTCATCGGGTGGAATGAGCCCACACTTTTGAATCAAATCTAGGAAAAAAAAAGGAGAGAGATTTAAATTCGAGGATTTTCAACATATATGAAAATTACGAATCAAATATGAACAAAAAATCAGGAAAAAAATTCAAATTCAACAAATCAACACATGCCCAAATCAGATCAAAAAAATTTCAGATTAAAAAACTTAAAACATTCAATAATTAGATCTATAAAAGGATTCAGATTCATTTATTTAAAACATGCACAAATCAGAAAAAGAAATCAGATCCAAAAGAAGAGAACACATACGAAAAATAGATAAACAAAAATGAAGTTTTAATCGTTCCAACCCCTCCGAGAGAATGTGCTACGAAGAAGATTTGATCTACGACTTGCAGGTCTGATCTAATCAAATCTGATGCTCTAAGAGACTTGCAGGTGTGAGGCAGTTGAAAAGATGAGGATTAAGGACAGCTTCTACCAAGATCTGATCAGATTTGATACTCTAAGAGACTTGCATGTGTGAGGCTGTTGAGAAGATGAGGATTGAGGACAACTTCTGGANAGCTTCTACCAAGATCTGATCAGATTTGATACTCTAAGAGACTTGCATGTGTGAGGCAGTTGAGAAGATGAGGATTGAGGACAACTTCTGGAGAGAGAGAGAGAGGAGCATCGAACAACTTCCAGGGAGAGGGAGTGGGTGTTCAGATTTGAGATATATGTTTTATATTATATATCTTTAATGTTTAATAGGCGGACGGGTCAGGGAGTCGGGTCTTCAGATGGAGCTACCAATCAACCGAATTGAATTTTTCGGGTAATTAGTACTTAATTCCAGAAATCGAACCGGATGCATTAAAAACAGTCTGTTTGTAGTCGGTAGGGTTGGTTTCGGATCAAAGAAGTGGGTAAGCGGGTTTTTTGACCACCTCTAACTGTTGGAGTGTTAGCTAGATCCATCTTTTCGATTTTGTCCATTCCAATGTAGATATCACTTGAAGACGCATCTCCTCCATAATTACTGCTTTAAGTTGTTCGGTGTTTAAATGAGGTTTTTCTTTTTTAATTTGTTCTTTAAGAACTTCAACAGGGTTAAAATTAGTTCTAGTATTTATACTGGTAATGGAAACAATGGTTGTAGAAGTTGAAGCTTTATCTTCCTCTTTGTCTATGTCTTTAAGACATTCCTCTATAACTTGACATTTAGATTCAAATGGATAATTATTCCAAAAATGAACATGGTATTCCCTAATTAATCTGGGATGTCCATTTTAATTAAAATTACAAGCCAAAGTCCACACCCAAATTCATGGAACAAAGAATTCGAGTGAGAAATTAATAATTGACTTACCTGCTATATTATTGTCCTTTAAGAACGGACTTTTGTCTTTATACAAGTCAAATAATTTTTTCATAGGTTCAGGGTGTAAAACTTGGTAAAAAAATAAAATAGTATTATTATTATTAAAAATCTTAATTTAAGGGGTAAAGTAATAATTAATTGTTAAATTATGGGTCAAAAATATAAATTTTTAAAAAAAATAAAGTTATACTATATATATAAGTGGAAGACAAAAGTCTTCTACTTTTCTTCTTCCGGTGTGCTGCCGAGAGAGTGAGAGAGAGAAAGGTGAGTATGGTTTAATTTTTTCTCTTTTCTTCATTCTCAGATTTACGAAGAGTAGTCCCTTTAATCACTTTGGGTCAAGAATTAAAGTTGCTCTACTCAGCGAAAGCTATGCAACCACACCAAATATCATATTTTTCTCCGAAAGAATATCAAAAACAATAATCTAAGCATAAAATTTGGGAAATTAAATTGGGCTTCCTCGAAGTTTCAGTACGTGGGCTCACGCTACGAGATATAGGGTTTTCCCTATTTAGATTTACTTTCAACCTAAAATATGACATATGAAATGAGTAAGTTATGGGTGTATATTACATGTTAGGTCTTGACTAGTGTAACTAGTAGGTCAAATATATGATTTATAATTAACTTTGTAATTAGAAAAATCCTATTATGATTAACTTGGTGTAAGTTAATGTTAGTGGTTTAAAACATGTTAATTTTACATTAGCATTATTTTATGTTTTAAATGGCATATCAAGTTTAATGAAATTATTAGCTTGTTATGTGATTATGGAATAATATGTATGTTAAATGATTATTTAGCATATAATTATTGTGGTGGACTTGTGCTTATGTTTATAGAATTGATAAACATGTTGCCATGTTGAAAATATCATTATATTGTATTTTTTATGTAATGAACATTATAAATGGTATCAAAGGCAATTGCACATTGAAATGTCATTATGCATGGATTACATTACATTCATGGGCATTAACATAGGTGGGAGTATGTGCATGAGATAAAATCAATCACCACATGGGTGGTTGATTGTGGGCTCGAAAAAGTCGTACAAAGGTCCGGCTGAGTCACATGAAAAATTAAATGGATAAACGTGTCAGGGATAGCAAGAAGGACTAGATTCTCTCTCGGGTGCAAGACCCGTTTCCTTGGTTTATACATTTTTTGGCGGT